AAAGTAAAAACGTCTTTTCTTAATTTTTTCAGCATGTGAAGACAAAATTAACAAGGAATGATCAGAAGCCTCAGTATCAAGATGAGTTAAATTAGCCTATCTAACCTTTCCTGAATAATACCTTCATTTTTCTGATAGCACCACCGGGTCCAAGGTTTTACTTTGTAACCCAAGTCAATTGCACCTAAATTCCAAATAAAATCCTTAAAGTCTCTAAAGGTCCAATTATCTCTAATTCTTCCTCCTTGTTTTTTTTTGAATCATCAAGAATATCATTAGAATTACCAGCTAAGACCCAGAAGTTGCCCCCAGTATGAAGAATTTTTAATTAATTCTTGCATTTGAGATTGACGATTAATTATATTCGTACTTAGATACACCAATATTTGCAATCAGATAAGACATCATGTATCAAAGTTTCAACACAAAAAGAAGAAGTATGATATTGACATACCTAGACGTTGTCATTCCAGAATAAGGCTAGTCCACCTGATAAACCCATTGGTTCCACAGTAATAGTATGTGCCATATCCAGTTGTCTCTGAACTCTCTGCACTGTTCTATCTCTATTTTTTGTTTCACTTAAGAAAATTATATTTTGGGAGTGGAGACGCATTGTCTCCTTCAAAAAGGGAACTGTTAAGGACCCCCCCCCCCCCCCCCCCCCCGTCCTCGACAATTTCACACTAAAGCTTTCATTGCATGGAGGGAAGCCATTTAGGGCTGGCCTCCCACTCCACAACTTGTTTTTGTTTTTTAACTTCTGTTTCAGTATCAAATTAGTTAGTTCTTTTCTTTTATCCCCCACAGTATGCATATTTTTCTCTATCACAGCAACCTCAATAAGATGATTTCCATTCAAACCTACCAAATTGTTTTCCTTAACATTATCAGAACAACCCTTAATATTAGCCTTTCGTTTCCATTGTTTTCTCTTTATGTCCTTGGTATTCTTATTAGTAATAGCACTAACAGTTAAAGAGTTTTGTTTTGAATTATCGAGTAGTTGAGAATTATTCACTATATGTAGTTGTAACTTAGGAGAGCTGAATAAAGGATCTGGACATACCTTGTCTATGTTATCTTACAATTCTTTCATTTTTTGGTTGCCAGCATCCTGCATTTGTGAGGCAACTTGCAATAAGTTTTGTTGTAGCTCTATTATGTCATTCAACATATTTTCATCCACTGGCATCTGCTCCTGCACATCTTTCTTCTCCAAGCCAATATTCAAACCTCACATTGAGGTAGTTTTAATACCAATAGAAGTCAACCCCAGTGTTATTCTAAACCTCTGCACTCTCCTTCTATCTAGATCCATAATTTGTTGCTTCCATGGGCTGCATCTGGTCTGAGTTCTCACTGTTTAATATATCAGTGTCTGTTCCATTCAATCCCAAAGTTCTCTTCCCTTTTGATCTATTTGATCTACTCCCTGAATACCCCCTTTTTCTTATGTCAGGCTGTATTTCAACCGAGGTAGTACCCTCTGCAAAATTTAGCAGACTTTTACTACTACCTGCAACTCCTTTTTCCTCAACCAGTTCAAAGTTATGATTTTTCACTCTAGTATGCCCATCGTTATTAGTATTTACACCTTGACAGCGCTGATTATCTGAAACTAGTAAATGATTCTCCGCTCGTAACCATGTCCCAAACTGGTCACTTTTGAGATTGCCTGATCGTATATCCTTCTCTCTTTGTACACAAGTTCTATCATTGTGTCCTAGCATACCACAGTAGTAGCAAACATAAGGTAGATTTTCGTATCTTATTTCAACCCAGTTTGTTTCCAAGCCTAACTTGATCAATTTTTCCCGGCCTATTAATGTTCATCGTGACTTTAATCCTCATATATCGCCCCTCTTTGCTTCCATTTTCAGGGATTACAATATCAACGGTACCTCCCAAAGCATGCCCTATTTTGCGTCCAACATCCTTTGACATCCAATATAATGGGATATTCCAAACTTGAACCCACAGATTACAGATATTAAACACCGGGGAATCACTCTTCAAACCTGGTTCCCAAGGATGGACATTAAGAAGGTATTTGTCATACAACCATGGTGTAGCAAACCATACTTTATCCTTACTTTCCTTATCTTTAAAAATAAATTGAAAAAAGTTCCATCCGATTTACTTTATCTGCAGTCCTGCTGGGTGCCCCCAAACCAACGGAATGGTGTTTTTGACTCCCTGAAAATTCACCTTTTTATCATAAATCACCTTAACAAAAAGACTTACCTCACAATCCTTCATACTTGACTGAATATATGGATATTCAATTGCCACGACATCCTTTTCTTCCTCAGTAAGAATAAATTTATTTAGGCGTTCAGTAATTTCATCAGCCATCTCTCCAATTGAAGGATTCCCGCTCCTATTGGAGTTGATTCAGCAGTATATTTAACCTGGTTGCACCAAAATATAGAGTTCTTCTAGAAATCAAATTGATTTAGGGTTTAGTAGAAAATAGGGAATTTGCACAAATTGATGCCCGCAGAGGATAAAATTGATAATTTATTAAGTTTCCTATTGGCAAAGTTTTAGAAAATGGGATTTGAGATGTGGAGATTAAGTGGTTAGCAGCAAGGATTGAAACCTCAACGAGGAGGAAATAACTCTCATGGTAGAGAGAGAGAAAGCCCTCAGCCAAGACAAGGGAAAGTGTTGGATCTCTTTATTTTTATTTTTTTTGTTATATTAGTTCTAGACGTATTTTAAATGCGATACAGATTGGGATTGATGGTGAAATAGACGAAGACTTTGGGGGAATTTAAGCTAATTACACAAATGGAACGCGTCCATTATAAGGAATCTAAATTGACACTTGTTTTAACTCGCCGACTAATATTGTGAAATAAATAAAGAATAAATCAGCGACTCTACGGATCGAAATTATTTCAAACTCGGCGTTCGGAAATTCAATGGATTTCTTGTCAGGTCAACGTTCTTCCTAGACGTCTCTAAACTGGCTTCATAAATTTGCCAAATGCTCCCTTCTCTTGTTTTCTTCGATATTGCGATTTGGTGCCTAATCAGCTTTCGCACATCTTATTTATTTCATTATTTTCATCGCATAAATTATATAACATTTCTTGTTTAAGTTTTAACTCTAATGTATCATATTTTTTATTCAGTTTGTTGATCTTTGTGCCAAATCCTTGATGCTATCATATTTACCAAATTAACAACATTCAACTATTAGTATATATACACCACAAATTTCACTGAAGGATGTGGTGGAACGATAATAGTCACTCCTCCATCAGTGACATAAACATTAGTACTATTTATTACAAATATTGCTAAATTATATTTTTGTAATTCAACTTGTAAGTAAGTTTGAGTTTGGATTTGTGACGATTTTAAGTTTACTTTCTAACTATAAATATATTTTCTTTAGGAAATAAATTATATATATATATATATATATATATATATATATATATATATATATATATATATATATACACTTTCTCTGTTTAAACAAGAATGAACATATTACTATTTGAAGAATCAAATAAGATTTTTTTTTACCATATTCTTTTTAAATAGTTTTCAAATATTTTAAATTATTAACTACTATTACTTGTAGTACTTTTTTATATAATTTATAAATATGTAAATTTTATTTTTAAAAAAATTTAAAGAACCTATATTCGAGTTCACACTCAAAATTACTTAATTGACTTTTGTACTCCGAAATGATTTAAATAAATTAAAATAGAGGGTTCATTTTTTTTTTTTATTGCAAATATTTTTTTCCGTTAACCAAGGCCCGTTTGGTAGGGCTGGGCATATATCGGGTAAAATCGATAGCCCGAACCGAAAAAAGCTTCTTAGGTTATCGGTATCGGGTTATTGGGTTAACAGTTCGGTAACGACTTAGTGTTATTTTACTATTGGGTTATCGGTTCGGGTCTCAGTTTGCCCATTTTTATTAACGGTTTAACCGATAACCCAATAAACTTTATATTTTACCCTTAGGTATATAAATTTTCCAGTTATCCCATTTCTCTATCTACTGTTGTAATCCTCTCAAATTTTTCATTCAACACATAAAAAAACAAAGTTGTAAGGTTTATCGTATTCTTTGAAAGGGTTACAACAGTCGAGAAAGTTTTGTATATTCTTATACAATATACATTATTCTTCGTTACTTCTTCCCTCTAGAATCTAGATTGAGTTATTTTATCGGGTAAATCGATAACCGAACCGATAACCATCGATTACCGATTAACCGATAACCGATAACCGATATCTTATCAGTTTGGTTATTGGGTTAGGATATTTATAAACCGATAACCGATATGCTAAACCGATAATATTCACAACCGAATCGAACCAACCGATACCCACCCTACCGTTCGGCCATGAAACTTTTTTCACTTTTTTTCGAAATCAGTATTTGGCCATAAAATTTTCAATTTTCACTTGAAGATGAATTTTGGAATTTTCTGAAATTTTAAAAAACTCCAAAAAATTATTTTTTAATTTTTTTCACCCAGATCACTCACAAAACTTCAAAAGTAACCCAAAATTATATTCATCCAAACACAATTCTAATTTTCAAATAATTTTTTTCACTTAATTTTTTTTTCTTTTTTTTTCCCAGGAATTTTATATTTCTTATGTAAAACGCCCACCAAATATTGTTCAAACGTTAAATAAACTTCTATATTGACTGGCTTAAAGACAAAAAGAGAAAAAGTAATGCTCCTTAAAATGGTGACCAGTCAACTAACGCCGTTAATCTCTCTGTTGCCAGTTGCCATGTACTCCTTACCACTCTACTGATTATGCCACCACTCCCGTTAACAAACCCCGCTCCATTCAACGCGTGGACCACACGCCTACAGTAAAAACCAAAAAAAGAATACAACGCTCCTTCCTCCGCCGTTCACACCCCCCTTCATTACCCCCTCCCCCCAACACCTACCCACCCACCCCCCACGCGTCTTCGTTTTTATAAACTCAAAAACTCTTTTCTCTTTTCTTCTTTATTATAGCTTTCACATTCTTTAACGCTCCCCTCAAGTTTTCCTTTTTATTACTTCACACAGAGCTTTTTATTCCGGCGAAAACTCCAAATCACCAAACTCGGGTTCTGATTAATCGGATCTTGTTAACTGGGTTTATTATCGGATCTAGTTCGGATCTCCGGTCTAGCAGATGTCTTCATCGTATTGGTGTTACCGGTGTACGCGATTTGTTAGGGTTTCAGCTGGGAGCGACGTCGTTTGTCCGTACTGTGATAGTGGATTCATTGAAGCTGCTGAGGCTAGTAATATTGGATCGTCGCCGGAAACTCGACGGAGATTGAACGGCCGGCCAGATTCGGAACGTAGTGTTAACATGGGATCTCGCCGGAGCCGGCGTAATCGCGGTGGAGACAGATCTCCGTTCAATCCGGTTATTGTTCTTCGTAGTCCGTCGGAAACTCCTACCGGAGATGATGACGCTGCAGGAGAGGAGCGGAGTTATGAGCTTTACTATGATGATGGTGAAGGTTCTGGTCTCCGGCCGTTACCTCCGACGATGTCAGAGTTTTTAATGGGATCTGGATTTGACCGGTTGCTCGATCAGCTAGCGCAAATCGAGGTGAACGGATTTGGCCGGCCGGAGAATCCGCCGGCGTCGAAATCGGCGATTGAATCGATGCCGATCTTAGAAATAGCATCTCATCACGTGAATACAGAAGAGCATTGCGCCGTTTGTAAAGAAGCTTTTGTTTTAGGCTCCGAAGCACGTGAAATGCCGTGTAAACACATCTACCATACCGACTGTATTCTCCCGTGGCTGTCGCTACGCAATTCATGTCCCGTCTGCCGGCACGAACTACCGGCTGAATCGCCGGAAACTACAACCTCCGGTGACTTCGTTCGATCGAGAAATGACGAAGAAGCGATGGGATTGACCATATGGAGACTCCCCGGAGGTGGATTCGCCGTGGGGAGATTTGCCGGCGGAAGACGGGGCGCAGAGAGGGAACTTCCGGTAGTGTATACAGAAATGGACGGCGGGTTTAACAATGGGGTGCCTAGAAGAATAGCTTGGAGATCAAGGAGGAGTAACACGAGTCGAAATGGCGGTGGAATAAGCCGAATTTTCGGCAATGTTGCATCGTTTTTTAGAAGATTATCGCCGTCTACTCAACGGCGGAGAGCGCTCGAAATACATTCGAGCAGCTCGGATTCATCCGGGTCCGGATCTTCTGTTTTCCGGAGTCGGAGCGTTTCAAGTACTTCAGTATTCAGTAGGTATTTGAGAAGAAGCAGTAGAACTTGGGTACCGGAAGAGAGTAATGGAGTAACCAGATGGTAATTATATTGGAAAAAAATGAAAAATATATCAATTTTCAATTATTATTTGCTGAGCAGAAGCACTAAGAAAACAGAAAAATCGTCATAGAGCAGTCGATTAGAGGTAGAAGATATGGCATAATTTCTCGAGGATTATATATCGAGTTTCAAACTGTGCGCGAGATGATTTTTCGGTGATAAGAGAATTATTGTATAATTTTTCTTTGCTAATTTATCTTGGGTTCATTTTGTGACAATGAAATGTAGAAAGTTGGCCATTTTGGAGGAAATCTGTAAATAGAGAAGGCTTTGATCTGGAATTCAATACTTTTTATTATTAGTAATATAGAAAGATAAATGTAGGCTCTTTAAATGGTTTATTTTTATTTATTTTGGTAGCAAGTGCAAAAAAGTTTAGCTGTGAATAGTCTTTTTTGGATTTGTTGAATCAATCTGTAAACTTTTCTATGTATTTGCAGCTTTGCATTTGGACCATTTTCTTACTGGTACTATACTTAAAGAACGAAAACTGTGCTAATAATTTAAATTTCTTGATCTTATGGTCATTTAAATCACCATCACTTTTTATATTTAAATTAGACTGATTTTCTAATTGGGTTTGTCTCTGCCATTAAATTCTTCTTTCTTCTGCCTTCAATTTGGATTTTGCTTAGTTTGGGAGTGAAGTCACATACTCACATTTTAGACCAAAAAGAAAAAGAGACAATACTTACTAATAAATAAAAAGAGTATACTTTTGGCATGTGTAATAAACGATGATGTTTAATTTGTCCAAAGTTTTGGTGGGCAAAATCATTTTTTTGTGCTGGTGAAAGGTATCAACTATTTGGTGTGAAATATTATTTTATGGCTCTACGTTTGGTGGATAAAATTACTTGTACCCATGCTGTTGAAAGATAATGTATATTTAGTGAATTAGTCAAAATATGCCCACAAAACAAACTATATACTTAATAAAATAATCAAAATACGTGCAATCTATACCCATAATACTGTTATCAGAAAGAAAAAGAAGCAGCTCATAGTCCAAGGGTGATGCTGGACGATATCAAATTTCTATGCTGATTTGCTTGTTACCTAATCTAATTCTTGTCTCTACCATTTGAAATCTCAATGTAATGAGGTTTACTGAAGATTACCTGGAAATTAGTGGCAGTTAACTTTTGAAAAGATGTTCCCAAAGTAAGGAAAAACCGCCAAATATATCCCTATACTTTTAGATACTCTCTTCGGTCCAAAATAAGTGATTTTTTCAGATTTCAAGAATGAATTAATTATTTTTTTCCTACATTGTCCTTGGAGTAAATAGTGTTGGAATATGTGTTGGGAGTGTTTATGTGAGATAGTAAAGGTTAATATGGTTAATTCCATTGTTAATTAATGCTAAAAGGTGAATTTCTTAATCTGTGTGAAAACATCCAAAAAATCACTTATTTTGAACCGGAGGGAGTATTATTTACATTTAACCTATGTTATAGTATCCGATCAAATTTACCTCTATCGTTATACTATCCGGGTAAATTTATCCTTATCATCAGCAAACTTTTAAAAATTACCCATTGATTTGTTAGGTAATCCAAAATCTCTCAATTTTCTTTTATTTAAATCATTTATTGTTTTTCTTGCTCCACTATTTTCAGAAATTACTATTGATGTGAATGTTAAAGGTATTAGACTATACAACTTATTCATGGACATTTTTAATTACCAATGCAACCAATTCTCTTCTTGTGATAATGGGTTTGAAATTGATTTAAAAGTTTGTTATGGTAGTAATAAATATGGCCGGATACTATAATAAAAGTTAAATGTAAACATATCCAAAACTAGAGAGATATATTTGGCCCTTTTCCCCAAAGTAAACCTTTGCTTCTTTTTTTTTTTTAAAAAAAGTCTTGGGATGAGAAAAAAAAAAGTGAAAATGATGCTTAGCTTTCAATGAAACAACCTTATTGGACAGACAAATATCTTGAAATTGGAGGTTGTTTCAAGGAAATTACAATAACAATAGTATAGAAAAGTTTCACCACATATTCAGGCAAAGCAGTTCGAGGTTTTTGTTTGGTCCACCGTTTCTATTTGTACAAAGGCTACTCGGTTAATGACTTGAAAACCATTTATTTTTGTCTTTTCAAAATCTAAAGAAATTGACAAGTAATTCTTCATTTCGTTTGAGCTCCAAAAACGAAGAACTTCTTGATAGTTAATGAGCATATATTTTTAGATACAAAGCTAGCGTTTGGATATAGATTTAATTAAAACTTAAAAAAAATTAAAAAAAAATTTCGGAAGTTAAAGTTGTATTTGGACATACATTTTATTTGAAGAAAGCTAAGGTTTTGTGAGGGGAAGAAAATTTTTGGGGTATTATCATTTTTAGTTTGTACCAGAATTATTTATATTCGGCAGCAAGAAAAAATATAAAATTTGTATAATTTTTGTGTATATATATACAAATATATATATATATATATATATTTTTTTTTTTTCGGATATTATTTTGAGAGCCGCTATATAGTATCATTTTCCCAAAGATTTTCATCCAAAAATTGCCCTAAACTAGTTTTTGAAAACTCGAGAATTATTTTTAAAATATTTTGAAATTGATCATATTCCATGCACAAATAATATTTTCAATTTTTTTGTTGAAAAAAACAGCCAAATTTTATGACCAAATGGGAGCTAAAAGACTTAACCAATTTTTTTTTAAAAAAAAAAATAAGTAAGCCATTAAAGGTAAAAATAAAAATGTTGAGGGGGGTAACGTGTACATAGGAGGTTCCCAATTTTGCATCATTTTACAATTGAAAAGAGTATTATGTACGTTGAAGAAGAAGTGGGGCCTAATTCCAATTAAGCCCATGAATGTTGAAATGTGAAATGGGGTAAAGTCCTTTTCTTTGAATAGAGAGAGAGTGCTTAAATGGAGTGTTTTGACTAAAGAATTATGAAGTTATTTTCATACGCATGACAAAATAGGCTATGGATCCTTTCAATGTACAGTTGGATTTTTGCGCGTGAAATTTGACTCTACTTTTGGTTGCCTACTCAGTCAATAGTTTCTGTACTCTCCCATTTTTTTAATACTCCCTCCGGTCCAAAATAAGTGATTTTTTTGGATGTTTTCACGCAGATTAAGAAATCCATCTTTTAGCATTAATTAGCAATGAAATTGACCATATTAACCTTTACTATCTCACATAAACACTACTAACACATACTCCAACACTATTTACTCAAAGGATAATGTAGGGAAAAAAATAATTAATTCATTCTTGAAATCTGGAAAAATCACTTATTTTGGACCACATAAAAAGGCCAAAAATCACTTATTTTTGACCGCAGGGAATATTAAATTAGATTTACAAAATATGAGAAAATATTTTGTAGGAACCCAAAACTTTGAATAATTTACACAAATCTTGAAGTCAATGTGTTTCCTTATGAATATATATGTTTACCCTTAAAATCAGATAACAATTAAACTTATAAGTGGTTTTAAGGATACAAAATTTCACCTAGTAACAGTTGATAAATATGATGATTAATAATAGAAACAACAAAGTAAAGCAAACCAGTATTGAAATGCAATTCAGCCATCGAGCTAGGTCGCCGAGAATAGAGTTATGGAATATGAAATAAACTGATGAACAAGAGAGTATAAGAGAAGAAGAATATTGTATTGCTTTGATATGCGAGAATAATCCCCTTACAAATGATTATGACCCCCTTTATATAGTAGAGGAATTCCACTTATGGTACAATTATAATTATAGAAGTAAATCCCATGATTAGCTAAACAACCGTTCTTGATTTGATCCGTTCCGAGATTTCCGCTATGATCCTCGACCGGTTACGGATATCTCGCCTTTCCGTTATTATGCTATCTTCGGTCTTGCTCAATGTCTACCCTGTTTGGTCTCGATCATTCCTGGTCTCAATCTCGACAGGTACTTCGAATCCCGACCTCAGTACTTTATCCTCATGTCTCGGTCTGATACACTACGGGGCCGATCCTCGATCCATCCCCCTGTTCTCAGTTAATCAGTAAAATCGGGTGGGCCCGATTTTACCCGTATACAGATAGTCCCCTCGTTTCTTGGAGTGCAATGACAAGAAACGATTTGAGTCTTTGAATTTTCCCTCGATTTTCCATGACGTAGGTCACGAGCCTGACTGTGACGTCAGCGACTAGTGGGCACCGAAACGACCCGTCGGTTCGGACGTCGAGGCATTTAATGCATGTTAGTTGTTGTCGGCCACTATTGGTTTTGAACCGTCGTCTTCAACCTATAAATGTATCTTCCTTCTGTTGCCCAAACTTTACTTTCAATCTATATATTCTTTTGCCTTCTACAGATTCTCAATCCTTTCTTTGTTTGTTTTCCCCAAAAATACCAAATATCCCAATCTCTGTTCTTCTTTGTTCACAAAAACAAAATGGCCAAAATATCTAAAATCGTTCCGCAGAAAGAAAAAGCTTCCTCGTCTCAGCCGGCCGGCAAGCAACCAGCAGCGGAGCCATGCCCTGAAGAATTCTTTCCTCCGATGTGCGTTCTTGACTCTAACTTCAAGGTCGAAAAGACCCCCTCGGTTCCAGGCCGATGTGAGCCAATGTCGAGGTATATATGCATAATCACTGATGACCTCCTATACCAAGTTAAAAAGGATTGCAACTGGTAAACAAGAGTGGTGGTTCTCTTGCCTGAGGAGTCAATCACTACGTATGAGGAGGGGTTTCTAAGTGTTTACACCTACCCTTTCACATTGGGCCCCTTGGACCCGGTTATTGTGCTCGGCCAAATTCACCCCTCCTTCTGGAGGATAGTGATATTGTTCCGCTTCTTTCCGAGCCAAGTCGACGGGCTTCCCTTTACCCTCGACCATCTTATACGCTTATACAGCCCCTGACTTTATTGAGGGGGACTAATAAAGCTTCAACGTCGGGCCTTCAAGGCAGCATTCTCGAGCATAGATGAGGACAAGGACTGGGGTTGGATAGGTCGATTTGTCCGAGTAAAAACCTCGGACCCGATCCCAGTCGAAAGCATGCCATTTTCAAAGAAATGGAATATGAGACGTAAGTATAACTCCATCTTTTAATTTCTGCTTATTATCTTCACTTTTTCATTCTTTCTTACCGGTGCTTTATTTGGTGTAGTCGTTGCCTGGATGCCGGGTGCGATTCCTCATCTCGAGAATTGGGTCAGGAGCCTAGTGTCGATGTCGACACACACTGAGTGCGCAGGCGTGAGTTGGCGAAGGGTCGATGGGAGGCCCGAAACCACGGTAAGTTTTCGCATGTCTCGACAAGTTTGATCGTTGTCCGAATTTTTCCTCGATCATACTTGTCTTTGTTTTGTAGGTCTTGGGAAGGATGTGCCGATGAGTCCCCTACCCAGTGATGAAGAAAACCTTCCCCAACGTCTGCTCCAAAATAGAAGAAGGAGCGGAAAAAGAGAGAGGCTTCG